TTCCCTGTAGGGAAACAGGCTGGGGCCTGTAGGCCCTGTCAGAAGGAAGCTTCCAGGCAAGAGCCTGGAAGTTTCCCTGTAGGGAAACAGGCTGGAGGTCCGGGATGGGCCCTGCAGGGCCCGTGTGGCTGCACAGTATGCCACATCTCCCGCCCTCTCTGCTTACAGTTTACCGGGAAGCCCTGTTTGACGATATATATTTTTCGTTTTTTTTTTTTTCCCCTTTTTTCAAGTTTTTGTGGCTCGGACATTCCCTGGTCCTCGGGCCGCCCGGGAAAACAAGGTGACCTGGGCGGCCCGGCTGGTAGCCTAGACCAGAAGGAAAAATTGTGTGAAAAAGGTCTCATGGAAATTGTTCCCTCCGCTACCGCTCTGTGTTCTCCTCATGTAAGCTCTTAGTTGGGACCTGGGAATCCGCAATCGATCGTATTCATTTCATTCGAGTAAGAGTTATTTGCACAATTGCGATGTCGACTCGTCACATCCTGGACCCCCCCTTTCGCTAATGGGATATCATTGTGCTTCTCCCTCTTGCTTTGTGTGCGTCTGTGTCGGTGTACTTTTGGGGGTGGGGTGGGGGGGTGTTGTGTGTGTTTTCAGGTGGTGAAAAACCTTTTGCAGGAACGCACAAGGCATAAAGTGAAAGTGTTGCATGGAAATGGTCATGATGAATTGTTGAAGGTACGGACGTGCTCAGATCTACTTAAACAGAAACTCTGAGATTGAAAGTGAAAGTGTGGATGGAAAGTTTTGGCTTGAAAGTTTGGGCTTGAAAGTTGAAAACACTTGTTTTATCAGTGTGTCAGGGAACATGTTTTTGTGAAGCGACAAACACCAAGGAGTGGGCATCGGAGAATACCGCCGTCGAAAAATTCTATGTAGTCTGCATTCCAGCTAGAACGCACTTGAATGTCTCTGCAACCCGTACATTCGAAGGAATCACTGCAAATGATTGAAAATGATACTGAGTGATCAACAAATGAAATGAATGAGCAGTGATCATACTCGGAAGTGGGTAATCTGCAGTGGAGAAATGAAGTGTAAACCAATGACCATCTTCACCTCTGAAATCCGATCAGCTGAAATATACCAGAGGGCGTGGGCAGATTTCCTATGTAACCAAGACCAGGTCGATGTGTGTGTGTGTGTGTGTGTGTGTGCGTGAAGTACAAAGGCACATTTTGGTAATCGTACACCTAGCGTGTCTGTGTGCATGCGTGCGTGTGTGTGCCAAAGATGTCATCAGGTAAAGCTGTCGGTACTGTGTGTTCACAGATATGATGATAATTCAAATTTGGAAGAGAGAGAGAGAGAGAGAGAGAGAGAGAGAGAGAGAGAGAGAGAGAGAGAGAGAGAGAGAGAGAGAGAGAGAGCAGCCGTCGGTGCGTGTGCGTGCGAGCAGGCCTGTGCTTGAACGGAAGGGGCAAGAGGAAAGAAGGGACTACAACCGTGTGGCGAAGATGTGATGAGGTGAACCTGTCAATATTGCACACGCGCAATTACATGGATAATGTAAACTTGGAAGTGCAACCTTTTCAGGGTCCAGGTTTCGACGAACAGCCTAGTAAAGTTTAGACATCGAAAGGCAAACAGTTCCTGGTCCAGGTTCCAACCAACAGCTTAGCAGTGTCGTAGCTACGCTTGGAAGGGTCACGAGTTCCAGGTTCGAGTTCGAGCCACCTGGTTAGCAGTGTCGAAGTTCTGGTATGGAAGAATGGGCGCAAAATTCACAGCCGCGGGGAATGAACGCATGTGGGTTTGAATCTTGGCAGTCCTGCTTCCACTCTCAGCGCCAAATCACTCACCCAACTAAGAGCAGCCATGCACCACCTACGGATAAGACTCAAGGATATGCTAAGTAGCACGGATTATCTGGCCGGATTATCCGGTGTGGGATTATCTGGAAATCGAGATAATAAAAAGGACCAAAAAATGTCAAAGAAAAAGAAAAGAAGAGTGATATTGTGCGTATTCAATACAAGAGAACTATGTTCCTGGGTTGTCTCCTACTTGAATTTTTCGTTTTTGTAAAATATATATGTTTACAGTCTTTATATATTTTTGAGTAAGTTTGTTTTCACTTTCTACCCACCGAACATCGATGACTCTGCCTTCTGCACCTGGAGCTACTTTTAAGCAAATCGAGATAATAATAAAAAGGACCAAAAAATGTCAAAGAAAAAGAAAAGAAGAGTGATATTGTGCGTATTCAATACAAGAGAACTATGTTCCTGGGTGCGCAGTGCGCGCTGCGCATGTCTGGTGTGCTGTGC